AAACGCACATCTATATGATAAAAAGCAAAGTAGACAAGAGACTGCGTTTGGGTCAAGATATGTCGTACGACATACAACACACAATAGATACGGCTTGTTAAACTACAGCACAAGGTTCACCACAACCGTATTTACAAGCATGATAGTCACAAACCCAGACTAACACAAGTTCACACAAAAAAACCAGAACAGAAGGGTACTGCTGACTGCGTACATAGCGTACTTACCATGCGCAAGTTTTGCCAGTCGGCCGTTGTTAACAGTTCAAATGTCACGGTACAATCTTTAAGGTCGATCACACGTTCCGCTATCGGTGTTTTCTCGTCTAGCTTAATAAGCTTGTGTATCCGACGCTCCTTTTCATTGCTATTATTGGTCGACATGATGACGAAGTAGTCGTATCAGCACTATGTTTGTTTGTTGTATATGTCAAATAAGATGCTTTATATAGGTGCTTCCAGAGCACCCACCGGTAATTGAATCTCACCTACTACACAAGCGCCTCTTGTGTTGTGCAGGCATCTGTATTCATAGGTGTGTGTGTATTCATAGGCGTGTGTGCGGTACAGTACAGATATGATAGGTAAATCTTGCTAATCTCGTACACCCAAATTAGGCGTCCCTTGTTTTTCACTACAAGAACGGCTATCTCTGGGAGCTAATACATACAAGACTCCGCAAACGTTAGCTATCATAGGGTATGTAACTGCTACACTTGAGGTATATACTCAGCATACACGTACTATTCCGGCTGTGCTTGTTATACTACTGTTTTTAGGTGTATAGATGTATAGATGTATAGGTGTATAGAAGTTTACCGTCTATTGCGCAATTATGATATTTTTAGCCCATCGTCCCCTGTGCTGCAGTGGGGTAATCTATCACTGTTCACTGACCCATCGCGTAAATAAAGAGCCTATCAAAGATGAACCGGATTCTTCCGTCAATATAATTTACTATAAAAGTGATTTTACTATCAATTAGATACGGAATTTAGCTAAATACAAAGTTTTTCATCTTATATCGTAAATTATATTCTCTACCCAGTTTGATCATACGAATTCAAGTTTGAGATTGCGACATTTCTCTTCATGCCTACTTGTAAAACATTTTTTTATGATTTGCGACATTGTATTAAACCCTCTCAACAAAACCTCTCACCTCTTGCCAATACATAAAATTTATAGAAATAAAATATATATATGTAAACTTATTTAAAAAAAAAATTATGTACATATTTACAGTATTTTTTTATACATATTTTATGTACATAAATATTTAAAAATACCGGATAAATATGAAATTTGTATTTTTTTTTTATACATAGAAATAATGTCATATTTATATATATATATATATATATATTTTAATTTTTATTTTTTTAGAAGGCTATGTATGTATTGGAATAATGATTTTTTCAAATCTACAAATATAAAAAATAAGGCTCCAAAAGCATAATCTTCTAAATTTGAAAATAGAAAGTTTGTTTTATATTTAATTTTGGTAACATATAGCCTGTATATAGGCTATGAAAAATACGCAACTGAAACGTACTCACGGCCCTCTAGGTGATGATGCGCCTCAAGAGACCTAAAGGCTTGCGCCCAACGCGGTCAAAAGGCAATTTGGACACGTCAGAGAGAACTTGTGCTGACTTGCTGTACGACCCCAGACATTAACAGAGAACCGTGACTGCCCGAGAGCCCGTGACGGCCCGAGAGCCCGTGACTGTATTTTTTAATTTAAATTTTTGTTAAAACATAAAACCCAAATCAGTTAGCTTTTAGT